AGAATCTGAAAAAGTGATTCCTGGTGATCACTCACTTCATTATCAGTTTTCCTGTATGCATCAAAACCCTAATTCATAGATTGAATCTTGCTGTGATTATAGACTTTTTTCTTCCTAATGTTTTTTCCCATAATTGCAATGTCTGATTTTTTCTGGATCAACCAAGTATTGATTGCCTTAACCATTAGACCAAACTGGCTCTAGAAGGACAGACAGATGCACATGCCAAGCCAATTTTCATAATTGCATTAAATTCTTAAAATAAATTTGTATTACCTCTTTTAGCTCAATGTAATGATTTATTTTCAATTAATATTAATTGAAACGTAATTGTTCCTATAGATGCTATTTGTCTCAGTTAATTGGCCTTCTTCATTACCACTACCCATTTGCCTTCAGAACAAGTTGGAACAAAATTTGACATACTTTAAGAGGCATGAGAAAAACTGGATATCTTACAAAACATTTTTTCAAGATAAAGTGAGAGAAATAGGGAGAAAATGTCTATATCATGGGAAACTGAATAGCTTTTCTATCTCTTTCCCACCTCATATGATATAGCCATGTGAAAACATAAGTGCACCCATGTAAAGTTTTCCTTCCCTCTCTTTGGACATATGTGCACATAGCAATATTTTATCTTCATTCAAACTGTATATAGATGCTACAATTGAACATTAAAACTATTAACGAATCAACTTTGCAAAAAAATTAACATACATTTTTTTCTATGGAAAAGGTAAGTACTCTTAGCTCTACTACTTGATCTTGCCCCCTTTGGCAGAAACAACTTCAAGTAGGCATTTGTTATAATAGACTGCCAATCTCTCTGACATTGACCGATTGGCATTTTTTCCCATTCCTTCATGCAGATTTTTTTCAGCTGTACAATACTTGAGGGGTTTCTTGCATGCACAGGCTATTTCAATCATCCTTGCAGTATCTCAATGGAATTTATAGGCAGGCTTTGAACAACTATTCCAGAACTCTCCAAAAAAGTTTTCCTCCCCCCCCCCAACCATTTCTTGGTGATTTACTAGAATACTTAGCGTCATCATTTAGCAAAATTCACTTTTGGTTGAGCTTCAGTCTTCTGACAGATGTTCTCACATTATTCTCACAGACCTAGTACAGTGAAGAATTCATATTGAATTCTATAATAGTGAGCTGCCCAGGCCCTGCTGCAGATAATCATAATATTTCCACCATCATGCTTTATAGTTGGCATCAGGTTCTGCAGGTGAAACGGCGTTTTTGGTTTTGGCCAAACATGCTGTATTTTGGTGCTGTGGCAAAATAACATTATCTTTGCCTCATCTGTCAGAGCACATTATTCCACAAGTCCTGGCCTTTGCCTAGCTGTTCCATAAATAACTGTGAACTCAGCCCAAGAATGACATAGAATAATCCTGCCAAACTTCAGTTCTCTTATTTGTTTGTACCAAATAGACAGAATCTTGCCAGACTAAACCTATATTACTCTCACCCTAACGGATGTAGCCTGGGAAATTCGAGGAAATGGCTGTCCTAACTCTCTTCTTTTGTTTCTGATCCAGCTCTGGGCTGTGTTATCTCCTCACCCTACTCCTTGGAATGTGCTCCTTCCTGGAAAACTGTTGTTTCAGTGTAGTCCAAATGATATGTCCTTCTTCATAGGCACAATCTGTCACAGCAACTTTTAACCTTGCCCCATTCTTTCTGGACAGCAAATGTTTCCTCCTAGCACACTTTCCCTGTAAGTCTAATTTGTGCAGCTTCTTTCTAAAGGTTCATTCATGCACTCTGACATCAGTAATGTGAGAGCTATCTGTAAATTACATGATATTCTGGGGTTCTTAGAGACTTCTTTCAGCATTATGTCTTCTGCTCTTTCAGAAGGCCTGGCCTGAGCAGATTGGCAGAATCTCTACTTGTAGATGATTTCCCAGGCAATGGAATAATTGATGTTGAATCATTTGACAGTCTTTTAAATCCCTTCTCAGACTCATAGGCATCTATAGATTGGAGGCCTCGGACAGTTTTCAATCTAGTCATGAGGATTTCGAACACTTTTAACAACATAGAACAAATCCAGCTAAACATCTGAGATTTGAATAAGACTCCTAGATCCTTTTTTTAAAATACCTGCACTTGATATGGTGCTTCTGATCCCAATTTTAGTTATTTGAGGTGATGATAGATAAGAGTGCACTCTACTTTTTCCAATTCTGAAATTTGCATCTATGTTTATCTAAATTAAACAATGGACTACACAATGTAAATAATATTTGTTATATCTTTTATCTAGCTATAGGATTGAAATGAAGATCAAATATCTTGTCTGTTTGAAATAGTTGGAAAATTTGAACATAGTTATTCACATCACTGTACATGAAATATATGGGTACGTTAACTTTGAATGAGCTTACCTAAATATACAGATGACATTCTACTATTTTTTAAATGTGTCCTAGCATTACAATTTATTTCTTGAATCAGAGCTGATAATTTATATTGTGTTCTCATAATAAAACGTTGTACAATTTTGGATTTTACAGGTAATCCTTGGTTATTGACTACAATTAAGACTGGCAACTTGGTTGTTAAGCGAAGTTGTTGCTAGGTGAATCCACAATCTTACTTCACCTTTCCTTTGCTTTACAGAGCCATGAAGGTCCTAAATGCAAGGATTATCGCAGTTACTTTTTTATTACTGTGTGAGGCAGTAGCTAAATAAGGATTACTTGTATAAATTTGCTTATAAGACAGATTTCTGTAGCACAAAATATTTTAATATACCTCTTCTGCAAATTGGTACATTAGCCTATTACTGATTTTTTAATTACATCCAGATTTGATTACATGATAAATACAGGATGTCTTAAAAATTAATTTTAAAGGTCAGATGCTTCAGTATACATTTACTAAATTCAAATTTGTAAGCCTAATTCAAAGTGTTTTCTTTAAAGACCACAATAGTCTAAAATATCTACTAAGTCCTTTCTCTGTGTTCAGAAATTTTGTGCCATCAGGAGTTAGGCAAGTGGCTATTGAAAATAGCTTTTTTTAGATTGGCATCTTGGCTTTGGAATGTGAAGTTTGCACAGGACATTATTTAACTGAAAACACATCATTTGGTCCAGCTAATATTCATATAGGTGTTCATAATATTCTAATATTGATTCTAATTTAAACTGTGGTTTAATAAAAATAAACAACATGTCCTTAAGTTCATATATAAAACTAAGAATGATTATGTGGAATCTCCACATTCATTGATGGTAATTTTATAATTAAATTATATAAATTAAATTATGCCATATCTATGCTATTTAATAGGCAACTTGAAGTTTCAGGATATATTCCCATAGGGCTCAAGATGGTCAATGATCAAGAATTCTGAGAATTGAATTCCAAACTATCTGGAAGGCATTAGCCAGGTTATCCCAGTTCAGAAGCTCCCTAGAAGCACCTGCTGAGCATGTATTCTGATTTAGCGATCAGTTTCTGAAAAATCAACATCCTATTTGTTTTATGTCTATTTTATATCTAGAGAAAAGAAAGGTCCTTAAGTTTGGAATAACTAGTTGGGATAGGATTTGTATTTATTCCTTAATTTTAGGGTCTGTATTTTGATAATCCCTTTTGTCATATTCAGGCTATGCATGCTTTGTTTAGAGAAGCAAAATGTGTCATATGTGAAGGCCCAAAATGTACCATGAATCTGGCATAAGTATGCTCACCAGTCGTTATGCCTAATGCATGGTTATACATGGTTATGTACATACAGAAGATCCTGTTTTCCTTTTTCTTTTAAATGAATTATTGTTAGGACAGGCACCAGAAAAGAAAGAATTAGACGTGCAATTACTGCACTAATTCATTCTAGGATTAATTACATTAAACCCAAGCAAATTATTTATAAGGGAGGCACTATTGCTCAGTAATACAGTATATGCCTTACAAGGCTGAGATGGCAGATAGTTATCAAAAATTACTGAGATTAAGGGATCTGGGGAAAGAAGGTCGTTCAGAGTAGCTGATACTGAGCTAATCTGACCTTGCCAAGAAAACTGCAGGAACTTGTCTAAGAATCGGACGTGACTGAATCGGACGTGACTGAATGAAATAAAAACAACAACTGTAAATTATTAACAAAGACATGTAGGGAAAGGAGATGGACCCCAAATTTATGGTAAGCAAATGGAAATAAAATCAGTTATGTGAAAACCTTGCCAAGATTTATCAAATCAGTACAGTAGTGGCCAAAATTGTGGAAACCTTTTGGGAAAAGTGTACATTTGAGGTTTGATGGCTAATAACGCCACTTTTTTGGAGTAATACCATAAAATTATATATCAATGGAAAGATAATTTAATCAAGAATGTAATGCAATAACTTTTTTTTTTTTTATTAAAAGTTTTATAAATTTTACAAAAAAGAAAAAAAAATACAAAACAAGAGATATCAGAATAATAGTGGCTCTGGGAAGCTCAGGGGGGGGGAAGGGAGGGGGGGGGTTTTTTGGGAGGGGTGGGTTTTTTTTTTTTTTATATATATGTATTGTTTAGTTTCATTTTTTTTTGTAATGCAATAACTTTTATGAAGGATTTGCTATTAGAATAGCAGTTATAAAGAAGAAAAATGAAACATGTAGAAAAAACGAGATATACAAAAATTATCACCATAGAAAAAATGAGATATACAAAAATTATCAGCATGTCAGTTAATACTCAGTTGGGTAACCTTTAGCATGAATTATGGCCTTACAACATCTTCCCATGGAGTGAACCAAGTCCTTTAGTTCTGCAGCTGTTATAATGTGAAACCAAGATTGAATGATTGCTTCTATTAACTGGGTTTTATTGCTGGGTCGCTTCTGACTAACAAGTTTCTTTAGTCAGCTCCATAGATTTTCAATCGGGTTAAGGTCTGGGCTATTCCCAGGCCATTTCAGCAGTGGAATATGATTATCTTGAAACCACTTTTTGGACACAGCGGCAACATGACATGGAGCTGAATCCTGTTGAAATATAAATGCTTTATTGTCTTGGAAAAGATCACGTGCGGAAGGCTTCAGTTTGGGCTCAAGTACTTCATTAATGTATTTTTGGCCATTTACAGTATATTCCCATTAATCACACAAATTCTGCCCACACCTTTTGATGTCATACAACCCAGATCATAACACTGACTAGGTGTTTCACAGTACAGGTAAGGCAATCAGGATGCAAATCTCCGATTCTTCTCCTTACGTATTTTATGCCATCACTACCAAACAGGGAGATCTTGGTCTCATCACTCCAAATAACACTGTCCCATTGTTTCTCTATCCAGGTAACATGGGTTTTAGCCCAGTTTAGTCTTTTCAACCTTTCTTTGAGAGATAAAAGTGGCTTTTTTCGTGGAATTCTAGATTTTAGGCCAAATTCCTGCAGTCTGTGCCGAATAGTCCTCACATTCAACTTCACATTGCATTGCGCCATTTTATCTTATATACACCCAGATGATTGTCTTCTGTCATGTAGGCAGTCTCTTAATTCTTTTATCATCACTTGCTGTTGTGCACCTTTTCCTGCCTTTACCAGTGTGGTTTTGTAGTGACTGAGTCTCCTTATACCTATTCAAAAACTTAGAAATGCCACTTTTGGTTAAGTTTCCACCAATTTTTCTTCTAATTTTTTTATAACTGTAGCCTTGTTCACTTAATAATACTATTTTACATCACTTTCTGGGCAACCAGTTAACTCTTTGCACCATTACTTTAATTTTATTACATTTTACAAGCTCACTAAATGAAAAAACACCAAAAAACCCAACCAACTTGATAGCGATCACATAACACACTGACAAATGTCCTCTCAGCTTCAATACATGACATCAATAACTGAATTCTACTGTGATCTGATTGGCTCATTGCAAAGCAAGATGACACCTGATTGGCTCTCTAAACACTCATGCTCATTGGCTACAATCAGATGAAGGAAAGCTACCTGATACCAACCTAAGCAAGTTGTGCTTCCTTTTTCTGGTTATTTGGCTATAACTTTTCACAGAATAGATAACTGAACAAATTTTGTTGCATTACATTCATAATTAAATTATCTTTCCATTGATATATAATTTTATAGTACTACTCCCAAAAAAGTGATGTTATTAGCCATCAAACCTCAAATGTACTTTTCCCAAAACGTTTCCACAATTTTGGCCACTATTGTATATTTGATAAATGCTGTATACCAGCAATGAAGAATGTTAATGATTAGAAACGTGAATTAAAATAAGGTGCATACTCTACCATCATTCCCTTACCAGTATATGATCTGGTCCCTTTTGGGATACTGATCTTCTAAAAAAGGATGTGACTGATGTGGGAAAGGCAATCCTGTGAATTCAGTGAGGTTTACTCCACAGTAAACAGTTACTTTTGTTTATTTCCCTTCCTCCTAAGGCAGGGGTAGGGAACCTTGGCTCTTTTATGACTCGTGGACTTCAACTCCAGAATTCCTGAGCCAGCCGAGTTGAAGTCCACGAGTCATAAAAGAGCCAAGGTTGCCTACCCATCCTAAGGGAACTTAAAGGGGTCTAGGTTTAGGGTTCTGAAGTAACTCATAAGAGCCTTATAGGTGGTGATTTAAATTTTTAGGATCCTATCTGAATAGTAAAAAACGTGTGCTTTTCTTAGAGCACTATTATTCTGATATCCATTAAAGCAGGTTGCAGACAGATGAAAACCAGTAATAGTGTCAGAGTACGTCATTACAAGTGGCTTAGGTAGCTTAAAAAAAACCCCAAACCAGACAAGTCAAGGCCTGTTGGTTCAATTATAGCAGTGGTGGCGAACCTATAGCACGGGTGCCAGAGGCGGCACTCAAGAGCCCTCTCTGTGGGCACACATGCCATTGCCCCAGCCTTGCCTCCCCCCGTGACCCCCTCCTCTCCAACAGCCCCCCTGAAGGAGACTCGCCCTCGAGTGTGGCCCACACGGAGCAGCGCAGCCAAGGACATGGCAGCCAGACAGCATAGACAAGACTCTATCCTCACACCCCATCATGCAGTTGATGCTGTAGGGCACGGGCAGAGGGTGTGGCCACCATAGCACTGCTGGGCTGTCTGGGCGATCTGCGGCAGGCTCTGGAGGCGGTGAGTGGTCCTGTGGGCAGGTGGGGCAGGGGATGGGGGGGCAGAGCAGGGCAGGCAGGGTGGTGGAGCGGGGGCGGGGCCAGTTTTTGGGCACTCGGTCTCTAAAAGGTTCGCCATCACTGAATTATAGTATACTTTTTATCAGATTTTGAACGACCACCCCCCCCCAATTTGTTGCCTTCATGCCCAGCCTGGGATCTTCCCAGAGACATTTGTTTGGACCTTGCAAAATACAGATAAACTAGATGGATGTTTGATCTAAACAGAAAGGTGACCCTTATTCTTTCCCAATCTAGAAAGTACACCACTTTTTCCCCTATGCCCTCCAGCTACCATTCTGCTGATAACATTACAGGGTGGGTAAGGGAGATAAACATTAAAATAGAATAAAGTAAAAGTTGATTTTATTGTCTACAAAAGTATGGCTTTCTGGTCTAGCTGGATTTTTGTTGTTGGTTGGTTTAACCAAAGAAGTCTCCATACAATGTATACTTTTCTCCACCAGAAACTAGCAGAGAACTATATCATACAATACCTGTGAAGTATTTTGAGGAACAATGATTGCTACAAACCTGTATGATTTAGATCACTTTGTCTGGGGAATTCTGGGAGTTGAAGTCCACACCTCTTCAGGTTGCCAGGGTTACGAAACACTTGCTTAGATGAATACTATTTTATGTATTTCATGAAGCTATTATGAGCAACAAGATTTTCAAATATGGAATGAACTAGTATACAAGAAAAATCTAACATGCTACACTGTGGGAATTCTGCTATTTCTTTCTGTTCTGCCTGCTATACACATGATTTAAGTTAACTAATGCAGGAAAGATTACTTGGCTGCCATCTCTCCCGCCCCATTTCATTTTTAACTTTTTAGATATTAAATATTCTAATAATTCAAAACAATAACATTGGACTAGACAATGTGCACTCCAGTTGTAGAAAACTCCCAATGTGATTTAAAGATAATTGTTGTTTTTTTTGGAATTGGAAGGATGACACATCTTACCTTGCATTGCAGCGATGAATGCACTCAGCTCTGAATCAATACTAAGTGCTATAAATTCATTATGTTCTCTGCTTCTGCAATAAAGCACCTGCCAGTAATCCAGATGAGTTCTTGACAAGTGTGAGAGACTGATATCAGTAAACAATTTGTAAGACCGTCGGCAACTAGCCTTGGCCTTAGTGAAGTTCTCTAAGCTTTCTGTATTGTGACTTGACCAAAACTCCAGTTCCTTGGCTCATATCATAGGCTGTAATTACACTGTTGATTTCTGATTAAGTCAGCATGAGCATCTGCAGAAGGATGTCAGGGGGAACAAATGAACATGTTACCAGCATGCAGGTAGATATCTGCATCAACATCAAAATGCAAGTATGCCACTGTTGTTTTTACAAGAGTGTTACTAAAGTTTGTTATGGATGCTGCTGCATAGCTTATCACCTCACACAAAATATTTCACGGCATCTTTAAAGAAACAGAAAATCTGATCAGTTTGATGATAATGATATCATATATTTCAAGCCCTCTGGGAAGTAGGAAGGGCATCAGTCTCATAAGATGGAGGAGGAGACAGGATAGCACCAGAAATTTAGTTTGGTAATGGACCTTACTCATTTCTTGAGTCAGAGATTGATATGTCACAAACAATATCATGCAGGCAACAATGATTGCCCACTCCTGCATTGATACAAAGGGGGCATCACCCCAACACTTGGCAGAGTCAAGTAGCTAGCAACACATAAGGGGAAATGATAATCCCAATTACGTTGTTAGAGTGGTTAAACCAATGTGCTTCGGTATAATAAAGGGCAAATTTAAGTCCAGTAGAGCTCAAGAACTAAATGTTGTATAAGACAGAGGCCCCCAACCTTTTGGGCACCAGGGACGGTTCTGTGGAGAGAGGTTTTTCCGTGGACCAGAGAGGGCGTAGATTTTGCATGATGCCTGCCTCCCACAGATGGGCTCGCTTGCGTGGCCCAGTTTCTGGCATGCCGCAGACCGGTGCCAATGCACAGACTGGGAGTTGGGGACCCTGGTATAAGAGATTCTAAGGGAACAGGAGCAAATACTGTATGTGCAAGCCAAACAGAGATCCATGGTAAAACAACAGCAGGAGCGAGAACCTTTGCTAGGAAACACCTTAGAAGGAATTTCATCATTTGCACTTTTTTCACATGCACTATCATTGGTATGACAATAGCTTAACCAGTACAGGTAGTCATCGACTTACAACTGAGCCCAAGATTTTTGTTGTTAAGTGAAACAGTTAAGTGAGCTCTGCCCCATTTTACAACTTTCCTTGCCACAGATGTTAAGTGAATCACTGCAGTTGTTAAGTGAATCTGGCTTCCCCATTGACTTTGCTTGTCAGGTCACAAAAGGCAATCGATCACATCATCCCAGGACAATGTAACTCTTCATAAATATGAGTCAGTTGCCAAGGGTCTGAATTTTGATTACATGACCATTGGGATACTGCAACAATTGCAAGTGTGAAAAACCATCATCAGTCACTTTTTTCAGTGCCATTGTAACTTTGAACAATCGCTAAATTAACTGTTGCAAGTTGAGGACTATCTGTACATGAACTGAAAATAGGGCTCTGCCGTGGGATTGTAAAATTATCTACAGTAGATGCAATCAGATTTCTGCAGTCACACACAAGGAGTCCTATCAGATTACCCCAGTATCAGAGGAATCGGGTGACCAACTGCAGCAAGAACCAAACCCTTAGAGAGAGGCTCGAGTTTGCAAACACGTGAAAAGGGTAACAGCCACGGAATGATGGACTTTTAGTGCAGCAAGAAAGAATGGAGTCACACTCCACATTTGATTTTAAGTACATAATCTATGACACAGCAGATGTGCAGTTTTACTCTTCAGTAAGTCTATTTTACATGAGGACTCTCCATAAATAGGTATTTGTAGGACGTAACACATATATCTTCATGTGCAAAGAGCACAACTATGTTTGATGCAGCCAATTGGGGGTAATTCTGTTGTGTGTGCTTGTGAAGAACAAAGAGGTGTGTGCTGTTCGTATGTAGAAAGTGTACAGAATTGCCTGTGCTGAAGAAATATCTGTCCAGAATGATTATTAGATGCAGGGGAGAAGACAATAAGAGAAAAGATTAAAATTTGCAGACTTTATCAGCATTGCTCAGGCTGGCCATAGGCTACCTGTCTGAAATGAAACGACAGCTCTTATTACTACTAGTAGGATCCTAGTAGCAATACTGTACTTTACGGTGTGTTGATCTGAGAGAATAACATTCCCTGAGAAATAAGGTAACACAGCCACATTGAATGACGTGCAATTTCTGGAAACGGACAAGGGCTGTATCATACACAGAAACAGACAAGGGCTGTATCACACACAGAAGCTCTGCCACTATAATTTTGCAAGGGAATATCTAGTTCTCAAAGCAGAAGACAACTTCTTGCTCCTCGGTAAGGGGAGCCCCTTGCACACCTCCTGCCCTTATGAAACTCAACGGTGTTGAAGCAACATATAAGAAAGCGCTCAAGAGCAGAGGGGGTTCCATCATGCTACACCTGCCACGAAGAGGGCCACGCCCAGGCACCAAAGGCCCAGTGAAGGCAGAACAAACAACAGAGAAGATGGATTTTTTAAATAAAATAAAAAATTAAAAAGTCCTTTATTGGGTGCAGCCTGGTCCCTGTGCCACGCTGGGCCTTGGCCGAATAAGACTGCCCCTGGGCATGGGGCGGCTCAGTCAGCATCTCCCCGAACGTCGAACACTGAGAGGTGAGGGACACGGGCTGTCCAGGCCCTGCCTATGGGCTAGGGATGGGAGCCCCATGGGGAGGGGGAACGGGGAGGGCCAAGGGTCAGTGAGGTCAAGTGTCTGTCTATGGGTTTGGGGAGAGGGAAGGCGAGGTGTGGGGCCCTGCAGATATACCAGGGCTGCACCGCACACCTCACTGAGCTGCACTCGAAGTGGTTTTCTTCAGGGTGAAATTGGTCCAGTTCACAGCCACTTTTTGTCGGGTCTGCTTGGCTGAGTCCAGGCAAAACCTGCAAAACAGGGGATGTAAAGGGTGATGAATCCCAGAACGGAGTGATAATTTGTCTTACTGTATAGTCATACAAATATATACTTCATTATCTTCTCCATTTACACACACACAAACACTGGTCATTCCTGTGTCTACAGACATAGAAATGAGGCATCAGGAACTTGTTAGGCAGCCACTTTATGAAGGGCAGCAGATCTGAGACCACAGACTGATTTGTGGATCAGAGAAATTGATTGTTTCAGACATTTCTCTCCCCCCCCCATTCAGTTCCCTACTGTTAATATTACTTTGATTGCTTCTCCTTGACAAGTGCACACATGCTTTTCCCAGAACTTGGGACCAGAGGTATATGGCTGGCTTCTTTTCAAGGTATGTATAGAGTACTCAATATTGCAGAAAGAAAAGGTTTATGCTGCATCAGCAAAGCCAGAGAAAAACAGTAGATGGATCCAGGCCTCTCTCAGGCAATTAATTAATTAATGTGCAGGTCTCAACAGACCTCACAACTCTTAGACTGACTACTTTACAGTAGTATATTTCATGCCTAACAAACAGTATCCTGCACCTCTCATACTTGGACACTGATTTAGTGGAGAAGTTGATCTTTCTCAACCTCCTCAGCTTAGGCTTTCTTGACTTTACCCTCCAAACCACCAGCAGCTGCCCATCAGCTGTTCTTCACCAAAACTAGTATCTGTAGATAGCCAACAATGACACTGTTAGACCCCGATGACTTATAAAAATTGGACAAAGCGCTTTAGTTCTGAACCAGCATCAGAGGCAATTTTGAGTGGCTGAATAGCCAGAGAGAAGATGGTTAACTGCTAGGAAATTTTGCTACAAGTTTTTAACTATTTACTTATGGGGAAGTAATGCTCATGGGATGGAATAAAATATTACCTTTAAAGGTAGGTTGCCAAATTCAAATGTGCCTACAGGTAGTGTTAGGTAGAAGCTTTAAATCAATATCCAGAGAAAGATATTTTTGCTTTTGTGTTATCTACTGCTTATGCTGACATGATTTCATTGGTGTCACTTTGCTAGGTTCAATCTTGCAGATATTGCTGCTGGCAGAGTGTAAAAAGTACTGTTCAGTACTGTATTGCTTCTATTTGGGTCAGTTTTTCTGTTGAGTGGATAGCAAATAACATTTAGCATGGATTTCCATTCCGTATATTTTTGTGGCCCTAAGATATAAACAAGGGAACAAGGAGTTTATTTAAGTCCCCTTTATTCCCCATGATGAAACATTAAATATGTTTCAAGTTTTGCTTTATAAAAACATAATAAAATGCTTCAAGTGTGACTACCTTGTATTGAGTTTCAAGACAGAAGATTTGATTTGATTTTTTTCATATTGTATTTCATGAACACTCTTAGACAGTAGGTAATAGAAGTAAAAGTGGAGATGAAGCACTATGTGGGAAACTGGAGAGAACTCCAGGTTAATGAATTGCAGGCCCTAAAAAAAAAACAACTGTAAATAAGGAGGAAAAAATAGGGCCATATTTGAAAAGAATATATGATGTGTCTTTGGTTTTAAGGTTTGATGTAACTGTAAACCACTCAGAATTATCCTATGGTAAGATGGGTGGCCAATAAATTTTATAAACAAATTAACAAATAAATATGATATTTGCCATACAGCAGCAGAATAAGTGACTACTAAAGGCTTAGAAAGTAGGAAGCTTTGAGACAGATTGCCATAAAGGCAATAGGGAGGTAAACAGAGGAATAAATTACAGAACAATGTCATATATATTGTTCAGAGTTGTTTTATAGCTTCTCTAAAGAACATGGCCAAAAATTAACCAGCTCTGGAAACATGATTCTTTCCATTAGCAATTATTGTCAACCTTTCCTATTTATTAACAGTATATTTACCTTGCATTTTTATTATAAGATTCAGCTACCAAAGTGTCATAACAGAACACTAAGATAGACAATACTCTCTTGGATGACTTATAATATCTAGTTTCATTTTAGTAGGAGTGCTTTGAAAGAATATAAATTGAGAGCAACCCTCACTCCTTACTAGCACTGATGCTGTTACCTAGTTTTGTAATGAAATGTGTAAGAAAATAACCAAGCTCAGAGAACACCAAGGACCCCTCACTTACTGATCTACCCATTAGCCATGCCATGCTTTGCAAACCATAATAGCAGGATTTACACATCAGTAAACCTAATGAAATATATGGTGATGTTAACAATAACAGCACCAGCAACAACAATAATAATAGAGTTGGAAGGGACCTTCAAGGTCATCTAGTCCAACCCCCTGCTCAGGCAGGAAACCCTATACCATTTCAGACAAATGGCTCTCCAGTCTCTTCTTAAAAACTTCCAGTGTTGGAGCATTCACCGCTTCTGGAGGCAGGTTGTTCCACTGGTTAATTGTTCTAACTGTCAGGAAGTTTCTCCTTAGTTCTAGGTTGCTTCTCTCCTTGATTAGTTTCCATCCGTTGCTTCTTGTCCTGCCTTCAGGTGCTTTAGAGAATAGCTTGACTCCCTCTTCTTTATTATGGTATGTGAATTCTGTCTTGGTATAAAATAGATGCAATTTGGGGCTTACTTTCCTCTCCCTCTTGTTTTCTTTCCTTCTCTTCCCCCCCCCCCCATCTCCTTGCACTCTTCTAACTGCTTTTTCTTCTCTGTTCCCCAAAACTTATTGAGTTGATCTTCATTCTTCTACTATGTCATCACCATCACTGCTGACATCCCCAGCAATCCCTTTTGCCTCTCCCACCCCACAGCAGATTTGCCTTCAACCCACCCCCCAAAGCCCTCTGCCCCCCATGCCTAATCAAATCCCTTTTCTTTTAATATTTGCTCTTTGGTTAATAGCAAAGCTCATCCTGCCTGAACTCTCTCTACCTCTTCCTTAACCCTGAATAATTATGTTTTTAGCTGACATGGGAAAACAAATGCAGAAGAGGCAATAGGTCTACTGCCCATCTAAGATAACTTAAAAAATAAAATAACAATAAAAACTGGATTAGAGACAGTGGATATTCAGGAATGCTGTGTGATCTGTGTTGGCTCTGCATTTCTGACCATCCCCTGGAAATGCTGAGAGAACATTTGCTTCACTACTAGCAATAGTGAATAATAATAATAATAATAATAATGATGATGATGATGATGATGATGATGATGTAAATAAACAATCATGAGCTACCAAATATAAGGAACGGTTGCTGGAATTGGGTATGTCTAGTTTAATGACGAGAAGGATGAGGGGGGACATGATAACAGTGTTCCAATATCTCAGGGGCTGTCACAGAGAAGAGGGAGTCAAGCTATTTTCCAAAGTGCCTGAAGGCAGGACAAGAAGCAATGGATGGAAACTAATCAAGGAGAGAAGCAACCTAGAACTAAGGAGAAATTTTCTAACAGCTAGAACAAATTAATTGGTAGAACAACCTGCCTCCAGAAGCGGTGAATGCTCCAATACCGGAAGTTTTTAAGAGACTGGACAGCCAGTTGTCTGAAATGGTATAGGGCAGTGATGGTGAATCTTTTAGAGACGAGTGCCCAAACTGCAACCAAAACCCACCTATTTATCGCTGGGTGCCAGGTAGGCATGGCTCACTGAATGGGCTGGCTGTGGTGGTCATGGCAGACTGGGTGGGTGTGGCCAAGGTGGGCGTGGTCACCTTGATGTTGCTCATGGGGGGACGCCTATTGGGGCCGGGCATGGTTGGGGGAGATCCAGGGTGTCTCTGGCAGGTGGAGCGGTGGGCAGGAGGCTCGTCCTGCGGGGTGAGGCGAGGCAGAGCAGGGGTGCCATTGTCGCAGGGCAAGGTGAGACAGGGGCTGGGGCGGCTGCTGCCTGACACCATGGGCCCCCGCACACAGAGGCCAGCGAGCACATGGCGGCCGACAGTGTCCGTCAGCAGCCACAGCTGCCGGTCCCTCGATCGGCACACTCTGGGGCTCCGCAGCCCGTCACCAGCAGTTCAGAGAAGCTGCCTCTGAGTTGGATGGTCGGTCGACAGCTGAGGAAGCGATGCAGTGGGTCATGCCCAAGAAAAGAAGAGCATGCAAGGCCAGGAGGGATGGGACCGGGGGGGGGGGGAACCAGCCGTGCTGGGATGCATCCAGCCACATGGGACCTCGGCGAGTTAGTGGGTGGCTGGTTGAAGAGGGACGGTTGCCATCTCCAGGCATGGTGCACATGCCCACAGAGAGGGCTCTGAGTGCCGCCTCTGGCACGCATGCCATAGGTTCACCACCACTGGTATAGGGTTTCCTGCCTGAGCAGGGGGTTGGGCTAGAAAACCTCCAAGGTCCCTTGAGACTCTGTTATTCTCTTCCCTTTTCTTCCCTTTTTTTATATCCTTCAATTTTTCTAGGAATCATCATTTTTCCATAGTCTATCCTCATTACATTCTTAAAATCTGTGAGTTCCTCCTTGTTGAACCACTTATGAGAATGAAATTCATGAGGGAAAAACAACAACCCAAAAAAATCTCCCTTTCAGCATAGGGCATCTGAGCTTCCACTTCCTAACCATCTTCTTGATGGATGATGCTTACAATTAGGGACTGTGAGGCTGGTGTGCGTATCACGGCACCTCCTTGCAAATTAATACTTTGGAATACAAAAGAATATTCTTTTCCATTCCCTTTGAGGCAATCTCATCCTTGCAATAGGGTTCAAACACTGTTAAGCTGTAATATGGTTTTGGGGTAGAGTTGTGCAACGACCTAGCACTGTGGTTTATAAACTATGGTTTTGTAGCTTCATGTATTGTGTGCACTGAACAAGTTGTGGCTTATTCAACAAAACCAGATTAATTCATTGTGACGTTTGTATGAGAGCTGCAGGCCACTGATCTCCTTCCCATGTGGAAGCTGAGGAGAAAAGATCCCAAAGGTCAGTTTCAATGTGACAAAGTCTTACCGCTTGAAGTATTCCACTTCTCTGTCAGTCTCATCCATCTCCACACTATCCAAGTCTTTGGGCAGGAACACATCATCTAGCAATGTACAATACAAGAAGGTTAGTAATTCAAAAGAAAAGGTCAATGGTGAGGATCTCCTTTCCTTGTTAAGCACAGCATGGGCTTTCTTATGTTGATGCAAAATGTGTTGAAGGCCACATCCTGCAGGTTAAAAAAAAAGAAAGCAGAGCATCTTTCATGTCTCATTGTAATTGATTCTGTATTTGTGTCACAGCAACACACTTGGGAGGTTGAGGTGGAAAGAAAATTTTCTGGAGAAAACACAAATATCTGAGCCACAAATTCCATGTGGCCCTCCCTGGCTTAATATGATTCTCAACTTTAAATAAATCCATAATATTTTTCACTCTCACAACTGCAAGGGAACAGTGTGAGAGTAAAATGAAAAGTGAGCTTTAGCAAGAGGCAGAAACTCTGATGCCTTCCAGTTATTTTGCACACGCATCCCAGAATCACTGGGCATAATGGCTGGTTTTGGCGGGAACAGAAGGCCAAAAACATTTTGGGAGCTCCAGGTTGTATTTAGTCAATGTTCTCTATTCCCTTTTCCCATACACAATAATTCTTTCTCTAAAAATAAACCTCTCTCTTCTGTTAGCCACCTCAGCCCCTTCCAAAACATTCAAGCCTCTCGAAATCTTACATGAAGATGTAAACTAGGCATAAAAAGTATTTATTGTTTAGTTCCCTGACTCAGTAAAATTCTTCCAAGTACCACGTTAAGGCCTTTTTGTAAAGGATGCTGAGATTCTAGGCCAGCCATCCCCAAACTTTTATCTTGCAGATACAGGGGGACTGTATCTTCCAGAATTTATTTTATTATGAAATTTATTTGCTGCCCATCTCATGTCACACGATTCTGGGGAACGTAACAGCATAAAAACATTAAAATCATCAAATATAAGATAAAAAGCAGATAAAATAAAATCACTAACACAAGATGGCAAAGGAAGGAGCCAAATACATGGGGGCGGGGAGGTGGGATTAGGTTTTCATTGGTCAACCACCTCCAGTATGAAGCTCCCCCCTTGGGTCCCCAAGCCATCTAGCAGAACCAGGTCTTCGGGCTCTTTTGAAACATATGGAGGATGGGAACCAATCTCACCCCAGGGGGTAAGATGTTCCAGAGGGCAGGAGCCACGGCAGAGAAGGCTCTTCTGGATTCTGCCACCCAAAATTCCTTGGCTTACGCAATCCACAGTTTGCCTCTTCTGCTGGCCCAGGTGGGAAGGGCCCTTCCATCGGGGTGAGACGGTTCCTCAAGTAGCCTGGAACCATTCTATGCAGAGCTTTAAAGGTGATAGGCAGCACCTTAATATTGCCCCCGGAAGCGAACTGGCAACCAGTGCAGTTCACAAAGCAGTGGTGTAACATAGGCTGTCAACGCTGCAAATATTGTATATTCTTGCTTTTGACAATATGTAGAATTGTCTGGTAATTATGGGGTTAATACAGAGCAGAAGGGGGTTGGGGGTAAAGCCCAGGAAAGAAAGAGGAAGAAAACATTTGACCTTCACACTAATTGGATAATGTGAGATATGACGGCTAATTTAGGGAGGGAACATGCTGATAATTTAACTGCTCAGAGGAAGAGAACTTAGATCTTAGCATCCCTCCGTTGTGCCTGTGCCGACATTTTGTAACAATAGAAGACTTTTAGGAAAATAAATGCCTGGAAGTTCTTTGGAATGTTTCATTAGCCGGAACCACAACATAGGCCACTCTGGGGGTCCTAAAAACTTCCCGTGCCAAGGGGGTCAATTCGGAAAATGCCAGCTTGGAAAAAGCTGCTGTAGTGCTGTAAAATGTGACTGTAGTGAACTGTTTATACCATTCAGGATGAAACCTAACAATTCTCCCATTTCAGTGGCCTTCCAGACTTGCAAACAACTGGTAGTGACATCATCATATACATTTGATAGGTTTCAGGTGGTCTAGAACTGCCAGCCCTTTGATGTGTAAGTGGCTTTTACCAGGTCCTAAAGTATAGTTACAGAGTAAAAGCATGGAGAAAAGCTGATACTCACCAATGGAAGGGCTCGTTTTCTCCATTTTGTTCCTACTCTTCTTGCCTTTGCCCTTTGGTTGAGGCAAATCATCTGGGATGGCTATGTGGGGGGGATGCCGGTCCCCAGGGCCAAACAGAGCAGGCTCTTGCTCAGTCTGATCAGCTCTGCCTTCACCTCTCCGGTTCTTCCCCTCAGTGCTCTTCTCTTTGTCTGCCTTAGAGCCACTGCAACTCCATCCCTGGCTCTGTCGCAGCCCTCTGGTACCATCGCCTTGCTCTGCATTACTGCTGCCTCTTGGGGCTTCAGAAAGGTTGCCCTTGGAGGGATTCTTCTGCACCATCCCCTTGATATCATTAGAAGAGAGAGCTTCCCCCTTCTTTGCTGGGCAGCCCTGCCGCTTACCCTTCCTCTGCTTTCCAGTGATGGGCACTTGTTCTAGCACTTCCATTCCCCTGCCCAGCGCCGCCTCCTTGGATTCATGGTTAGCTCCAATCTCTTGGGGAGAGTCTGTTGGCTTGGGCGACTGTACCCAGATCATGCGAGAGAGATTAGGTACAGCGTTCAGCCTTTTCACCACGCCGTTTTCGGAGGCCGGCGGCGGTACTACCTCTCCAGGGCTTTCAGCCCATCGAGGACCCACCTCATTTCTCAGTAATGAATGATTATGTGGCGCATTCAGACTAAGTGGAGACAGGTCAAGGTCAATCTCTTGCAGCTCAGAGGAGCCATTGAGGTGGGAGAGAAGGTTCTTCTGTTCCAGCACGGCAGCTTTTTTGGGGAAGTCATTCACATCTAAGTTGAGATCGTAGACGCTGAAGCTGGCGCGGATGGAATCTTTGATTGTGTTCTTGATCTCCTGTAGTCGGCTGCTCAGAAAGCTGTTCACTCGCTCTAGTTCTAGCTGGGGCCACTCCAGAAGCTTTTCTTCAGGCAGCTCCTGATCTTGACCTGTAGGCGGGCTTCGATCCACACGCTTCTGAGCCTCAGCCTCTAGCTGGGCCTTCTCCTTCTCCTGCAATACCAGAATGAGCAGTATAAGTTCACCAACAGCTTCAGCAACATCAAACAGCAACTGAAAGAGTAGCTCTGTGGTGGGATGGAGGATAGTAATCAGTCCCAGGCTAATGAATTGGCCTCTGCTTTTCAGCCTGTCACGCTCGACTCTGACACAGCTAGGCAAGCACTGCCACAAAACCACAGAGCATCCTAGGGAATTGACCCTGGAAACTAATAAGATGGCATATACAAAGTCTGTGCTATAGTAACAAACCTTAGGGAAGAGACGCATTGCCAGCAACTCCCCACAGCCATTTCCCACAGCAATTTTCCTCTGTATACAAGTCCCAAGACTGCTACATCCCTAGCTCTAAGATCAGCTCATGGCAATGCAACATGCAGGAAAGAATGAAGGATGTGAGCAGAAAAACAAATATAAACTTTCAAGCTCCCTGACCTAGTTCAAGGTGTAAATAGCTGAAGTGCTTCTTTAGTTAACCCTAGGGGGGAAAAAACTCAACTCTTTCTAACTTCTGGTTTATTTATATTTTACAAGGGGCAGATCAGATCCTGTAGCAAGTTATTCTATCTTCCATGCAAAGGGAGCAGGGAAATATTTTGCGAGCTTCATGCCAGTTGCCTCTAGAGCTGTTCTTTCACATTTACCCTTTCAGGCTGGCAGGGCTCAGGAAGAACATAATCGTCTGATTTGGTGTAATGCACCTTCATATTTTTAGCCTCAAGAATACCCAGACGGAGAAAAGGGCTTTTGGATTAATCCCTAAGGAATTTACAATGCTATTGGGAGATTGATACACATATTTAATAGACTCCTGCTACCAAACTCAGAGTAGGCCATTTAGTATTTTCAAGTCTACTTTTTCTGCAGAATTCGAAAAAAAAAGGGATTGGCAATCCAGTTATAAGTTAAAATGTTAGGAGCTAATTATGTCACACATTTTTGGAATTTATGTCAATTATGAAAATACATCCAGACTTTGGAGGACTATAAATGTATTATATACAGTGACATCTCAGTACTTGACTGCTTCAAAACTTGACGAATTTGGTTCTTGACTCATTTTGATGTGAAAATGTTCCAGTACTCGGCCTTTGTTTATGCACTGCTATAGGAAGAGGGGGACAGATGTGGGGAATGGACAGGAAGTTCCCATGCTGGGAAGGTTGCTGCAAAAGGAGGAGGACAGCCACAGAGGGTGGACAGGAAGTCAGCCATGCTGGGAAGATCACTGATATAGGAAAAGGGACTGTAGGAGATGACCAGGCTGAAACCGAAGGAGGGGTCAAAAGCGTCATAAGTTATGAATCCCTGTGCACCTGCAAGAGATCTAAATCCAGCCCATTTTGAATGCTTTCTTATTCCTGTTCCTTTCCCTTGACTGTTAGTATCAAATTTGCAGATGACACCAAACTGCCAGGAGTAGCCAACACCCCAGAAGACAAACTCAGGATCCAAAAAGATCTTGACAAACTCAAACAATGGGCCCTATCCAACAAAATGAGTTTCAATGTGGAAAAAAGCAAAGTCTTACATTTAGGCAGGAAAAACCAAAAGTACAAATACAGATTGGGCGAGACATGGCTTAAAAACAGTAACTGTGAGAGGGACCTTGGAGTCCTAGTGGACAATCACTTGACTATGAGCCAGCAGTGTGCAGCAGCAGCCAAAAAAGCTAATACAATCCTGGGTTGTATAAACAGAGGCATAGAATCAAGTTCATGTGAAGTATTAGTACTGCTTTATAAAACCCTTGTAAGACCACACCTGGAATACTGTAGCCAATTTTGGTCACCATATCACAAAAAAGATGTAGAGAGTTTGGAAAAAAATCAGAGAAGAGCAACTAAGACGACAAAAGGCCTGGAGACTAAAACATACAAAGAACGGCTACGGGACCTGGGTTTGGCTAGTCTAAAGAAAAGAAGAAATAGGGGAGACATGATAGCAGTGTTCCAGTATCTGAGGGGCTGCCACAGGGCAGAGGGGGCCAGGTTGTTCACCAAAGCACCAGAGGGAAGGACAAGAACCAATGGTTGGAAACTGATCAAAGAAAGAAGCAACCTGGAATTAAGGAGAAACTTCCTGACAGTGAGGACAATCAACCATTGGAACAGCTTACCCCCAGAAATCGTGGGCACTCCGTCACTGGAGATTTTTAAGAGGAGACTGGACTTTCACCTGTCTGAGATGGTGTAGGTCCTCCTGCTTGAGCAGGGCGCTGGACTAGAAGACCTCCAAGGTCCCTTCCAGCTCTATTCTATTCTAGCTCAGATTTTTGTAGAGAGCTTAAGCTTGCAATAAATCTTTATAATCATTTGAACTGCCAGAATCTCCTGATTTCCCTGACACTTGACAGGATAGAAAGAAACATCTTCCTGGCCAAAACAAAGGATTACCGTCACACTTCCCATAACCAATTAACGGTGAGTACTGAGGTACCACTGTATTTCATTTCATCAAACCACTTATCTGTCCATACACTCAGATTCAGAGACCAACATTTATACTTTTGAGGCAGTTCTTGCCCAAACCTACCCTTATTTGATATTTAGATTTCAGGGGTAGGAGGAAATGGACGTTTGTGGAAGGTTTTCTTAAGAGGCATTTTGTTTTTTGTTTCTACAAAAGCTTTAATTACTTTTTGGCTTCATTACTGCTGAGAGCTGCCTAGAGTTTTGTTTTAAGAGAGGCAACCATACAAATCTTTTAAATAAGTAAGCAGCCATCTATTATGTAGCCTTCTTTTTCCCTTACACCACTTTGCTAGGTTTAGGATGCTCATTTTTACCCACTCCTCACATGCGCACAAGCCCACCTTCTTCTTCTGCTTGTGGCGCGCACGCTTGGCAGCCTTAGCACTGTTCAGAGGCTTTGGCTCAGTGCTGTTAATGTAATCCAGCAGCTCATCTACGTCCCGGTGGTCTACAGCTGGTTCTCCTGAGCTACTGCTATGCCCCAGCTTTTGAGGAAGTTCCTCTTTCCTCTTGGTCAGCCTGGAGCGCAGCTTTTCCCGGATCTCAGCATAGTTCCGACTGGTTGGAGCAGCTGGAGGCTGTGGACAGAGTTACTGTTGGTTGTGTATATAAAACATTGAGTTGCCACCCCAACATTATTCCCAAGTGACACTACTCCCATCTTTCCTGCTCTCCCCTTCCTTGGCCCAAATGTTTGCCAAGCAAGTCTCACCCATCTAAGCCAGCATTTCTCAACTTTGACCATTTTAAGATGCGTGGATTGGAGAATTCTGGGAATCAATGTCCACGCATCTTAAAGTTGCCACGGTTGAGAAAAACTCGCTGATCTAAAGCATTTACTCTCCTTTTTGAAGAAATCCCAGCTGAAACACTGTATGCAAAATATAACAGGATTCAAAACGTGGAACAAAAACAACAGTCCGGATGGAGTAAAGTCGGCTTGAGGAAGGCCAGCACTAGAATGTAAAAGGGGAGTGCAGTGCCTCCATTGCCAGAAAGTTGTCTTTCCAAGCTTCACCTGAAGTCTAAAAGGGTAGATTAGGGATGGCTGCTGGCAGGGCTTTCACTTACCGCGTTGTGGCCAAAGAACTCACAGTAGCAGCAGTCACAGAATTTCCCATCTTTCTGGGTAGTGGAGGATGAGGTGCAGGAGCTACGCTCAGAGCTGCTGTCCTCATCCTCCCCAAGCCCCTCGTCTGCCTCACAGGACTGTGGTGCATGACAGCTTGTACCGTTTGGGAACTTATGACCCTTGCAGGCAGGGTCCCTGTGAGAGAAAGAGGGGGAAAGGAGGTAAGAAAATGCACACTGGATTCTCATCTTCCAGTGGACATGCTAGATTGATGTCTAACGTCTGGAATGAGTTGAATGAATGCCAGCATATTAAAGCCCCATCCAGGTAAAATAGAAATACTGTCAGTAGAAGGTTTGTCTGACTATGACAGAAAACATGTTTGAGAAACAAGGTTGCACTTCCTCTAAAAGAGCAAATCTTTGAGCCACAGATTCTCTCCCAGACCAACCTACCTCACAGGGAAAAACAGGAGAAAAGAATGCTATATATGCCATCTTGGGCTAATTTGTAAATTTTACACTCGCTGAGGTTGAGAAACACTAAGTGACATGTCATGATAGGAAAAAAACAAGTCAGCCCTCATCCATGACTGAGTTTAGGCTAATCCTGCTCTCTCTCAGCCCCGCTTACCTTATAAGGCTGTTTCAGTGGGGAAAAATTGGAGGGCAGTGAGGTGTCTACTACCTTGAGCTCCTGGAGGAAAGGTGGGATACGAATCCAATAAAATAAATGCTTAATGGACATTTGCCCTCACGTCCACCCTGCCTACATAGATAGAGTAGGGGGCTGGGAAAAGGTATTTCAACCTTTGGAGTTCCCTCCCTGCCAAAATTTTTGGTTTTCAGATCCTAGGCCTAGTTCCACCCAAACAGTGCAGAACCTGCTTCAAGCTTTGTCTCCAGTTCTGATTGCCACACTTGAACATGATTCAGATACATTCAAACAGGTTCAAAGAAGGGAAAGAAAAGTGTCAGGGGCACAAAATTACATCCTACAATAAATAAATGACTTATGTTTAACTGTTGTGGAGAAATACAATCCTATCATCAAATGCATGGATGTGCTCATCATGTGTAACAAAGCCAGAACATACTCTCCCTCATCTACAGTGTAAGAAGACATGTACTAATGACTTTGCTGCAGGAATAAAAATTTCATTTATATATAAGAATAAATTCTTAATAGTACAAGTGGTTCAATAATGGAATCATGACCTAAAGAGACAGCTGTTTCTCAGTCAAGGTAAAGTCTGAAACAATTTAAAATGGATTCCTGCATCAAGAAAAAATGGTTTGAATGGCCTAAATGAGCCATTGCCTGGAATTTATAATGGTTCACGCTCTACTGTTATTCCTTCTGTTGTCTGTAGCTGTAATCCACCATTGTTCGTGTGTGTGTGTGTGTGTGTGTGTGTGTGTGTGTGTGTGTTTTCAATAAAGTTTTATAAAATTGTGAATTACCTTGAATATTTGTATGGGAAGATACAATGCAGATATCTCTAATGACCTCCATTCCCTATTCCATTCCAAAAGATAAGGATATGCAAGTTTCAAATCCCAGTTGTAAAAAGTACAATTTATGTCTTGGAATGTGCCAATCCAACCATTCCGGGATGGCTCGACATTCTGGTTTTTTACTCAGACACTACAAATCGCTTCCTGTTCTGGAATAATAATTTCCAGTTCTGGTACAAATAAAATCCTCTCCAGTTATAGTACAACTAAAACAACATACAGATATATCTAGAATTTCTTTGAGTATTTGGGACAGGATGAGTATGTTGAAGAACATTTTAAATTCTAAAGGTGATTTCTATCTTAAGAAGTTTTTACTCCTATTTTTACTCCTTCCCTTGTTTTATGTGAATTTATACAGTATACTATTAAATTATATTTTGAGAAGCAGAATTTCCATAAATTATATGGAAGGGACCCTTATTCCATAAATTATATTTGCCTGTTGAGAAAGGGATGTTGGGATTTAATTTACCCATTTTCAGACTTATCACTGAGCATTTATTTTAGCTTCAGTTACTCCTTGAAACAAGGTTTTTCAAAATTTAACTCTTCTTTAGGCTCAGTTGAAAAGTTATTATTAAAGCTACCAAAATCTTGAAAAATATTGGGATCCTTCTCAAGGTAAGTTTATGCTGCAAGAAATATATGGAAAAGATCAACTCTAAGATCAATTAAGATCAACTCTAATTAAGAATAATGGGAGACATATTCAGTTCCTTAAAACATGATTACCTTAGACCAAAGTAGCTCTGTTAAAGGAGTTTTAAAACTTTATAAAATTTAAGAATTTGATTTATTTCAGAATTCTCCTTGATAGCTTTGAACCATTTACTGAATCATTTATTATTTGGACTTGAATACCACTGCTTCTGAAAGTCTGCATTTAATAAAGAACTTGGAAGAATTATCTGATGTTCTCAAATGAGTAAGAGGGCAATAATATTTATATGATCTTTTGATCTGAATGTCCTGTTCTAGCAAATGACAGATTGTTTTTAAAACTGAAAAATGTGTCTTCTGATAAAAATGTGGTTAATACAACAAGAAAAAAGTACTTTTTCTTCTACAGGAATACTGCATCCCAAAGCATATTCAGCAATGGTTTGTTATGGTTGTCTTGCTTTTTCTTATGGTGGATTACAGTTAGAATATGGAATATTAATTCATTACAATTTTGGCTTATTCTATTCTATTTCTTGCCATAGTAAAGGTCAAAAATCACAGAACTGTCAAATTGCCTTAGTCAACTGCTGCTTCAGTAATAAAAAATATTTTAATCGTATTTTTGTTGTGTTTTTTTGTATTGCTGTTGTGTTAGTTGTTATGCACCCAGAATTATTTAAGATGGGTAGCCATATAAATTGTCTAAATAAAGAAATACTCACACTCGTTTTTATATCTCCCATAGTCAACATTTATCAAGGCATCAAAAATTGTAATTCCTTTATACACAGGGATTTATCAACACTGAAATTATACAATGCTGGAAAGATAAAGGTACTCCTGGTTAGTAGAGTAGACTCTGATATATGTGTTTGTCAATAATGTGAATTATTCTTTTGTTGACAGTGGGTCAAGGCAGAGAACTTTTGATTAAAGTAGTCTAATTGTCTGGAGTTGTTTGTTTTATGGTACAAAGTATTTTTTACCATTATTTTTCACTTTTTACTTTTGTCACTAAAAGAGTTAAAAGCAATAAAAGCAGTAAACAATGCTATATTCTTATTTAACTTCTGTCACATATTCTTCCATATGACAACATTAACGCATGATGAAACATATTAGGATTCAGTCATCAGTGGAACAAATATACATAAAATGGAGTTGTCTAGAGCTAGGATTTTGATTTAAAAGTTGATTTAAGACAATAGTTTGACAGGAGTTCTTCAACACCCCTCTTTGGTAGCCAGAAAGAACATAGGAGGAGAAGATCAGATTATCAAATACCTATAAAACCGTACTTGAAAAGGAGACTAATGCTCTGCCTACTAACTAGACCATTGGTTTGCCTGATGTTTTAAGAATTAATTTACACCAAGTAGATATGATGTTCCGTATGATGTTATTCTCAATCTAAAATCAGATATTCCAAAAGTATGTAGCCAATGAGTTATGATTTTTAACACATCTGGCAAGACCAGCAAGCAAACTATGAAGGGAAATGCAACAATTAATCAACAAATGATTAATAATACTGGGAATAAACTGCAGTCAGAATTCCACTTACCTGTTGGTGCTAGGTAGCTGATGAGGTGCGGTAGGAGGACCCAAGGAACCACTGCAGTGCCCATTGCAGGGATGGGTGCAGCCTACAGGAGGTGGAATCTTCAGGAGTGGCACATTGGCAGTGGGTAAGTGTGGGCTCTTACAAGATCCAGTAGGAGGGGACTCTGCTCCTGGTTTAGGGGCCGGTGAATGTGGACTAAGGGCTGGTGTAGGAAATGGGGCCGCCTGCGGTGAAGAACTCAAGTGAACATGAGGAGGAGAGCTGTAGGGCCCAGTGTGGGCAGGCATCTGCTTTGCAGGAAGGAGTGCCGGTGGCTGTGAGGGGAGGCCTGTGGGGCTGTTGGGTGGAGCAGTGAGGTCCACATGCCGGTGGTGCTCCGAGGAGTGGAAGGCCTCTCCTGCAGCCAGATGGGAACAAGGTAATGTTAGGTCTAATCCTTCAAGCAGAAATTTTCATGAATTATGGAGAGGATAAAAATATCCTGAGTCACTAAGCTCATACATCAAATACACCCCACCATATACTACTGTTTCCTTCTGTAATATATCAAAGGGTCTAAGGCTACATATCTAGACACCACAGTAAAATCCAACCCAACACCATGTTCAACTTGGCATTTCCACAAGTGACATTTCTCCCAGAGCATTTTAGAAAGTCCAACCCAATACAGGACATAAAGGATGCTTTAAGTTCTAAGCCCATTCAATAACCCACACAGATGGGTAAAGAAGTCAACCATGGCTTGTTTGAATCTGTCACACAAAAGCCCCAAATTCAACCAAAAGAAAAAGGCTCTCTCTAGTCCAGGAGGAAGAAAGAGCCTTCAACTGGGAACCCAACAATATAGTGGTGTTTTTTGCCCTGCCAATTTGGTCTGTTGGCCTTCCCTTGGCCCTGCATATACAGACCTGGCGGGGTGGGTCTCCGACACATGCTCTTGAACTGCTTGGGAAGCGTTTTGCAGAAGTCGAGTGAGGTAGGCAGAGGAGAGTCTGGGGTGCCGCTGGGAGCTGGGGTGAGCGCGTGGCTGTAAGGACAGGCTTTGAGCCCACCTCCTACAGCAGGGGCCTGGTTGACACACTCCGGAGGAAGGCCGGGGTGCTTGTCACCTGAAACGGAGTCAGAAATGGAGCTGGCTGCTCTCCAGGCCCCTAGCTCACCTCCCCACTTGTGGAATCTTTTCCTGGTCCAAGATCATAGAGGCCTTTGGAGATAAACCTAGTAAGCAGAAGCTTTCCTATGAGCATTACTTGGCCCCAAGAGAAGACACTTTACTTTTTCTGGACCAGCAGATGTAAACACTTTCTTAATATAATTGTACAATATCTATCCCCGGAACTGACAAAAGCCTCCATGAAGAAGCTATGAGGAAAATTCCACTACCAAAAGGGAGAAAACAAGCACTAGTCCAGGGCCAACATGAACTCACCTGGTACAACAGGTGTTCCCCCAAAGGAGCTCCCTTGAGCTGCCCCATTTGCATGCTGGGAGTTCCAGAGTCCCGAGAGTTTGTGCGCGGACAGGAAGGAGCTAGGGTCCCAGTCTCCCGAGTTCCCGTGGCACGAGGATGATGAAGATGAAGACGAAGAGGAGTGGGAGCCTGCCCCGCAGGATTGTGACTTACAGGCTGTATGTGACAGTGAGACCTGGGAAGAGAGTTGATGGCTAAGTAGCCACTCATTCCAATTTATCACCTTTGTCTGGGAAAGTAAGCTGCTGACTAATGTATGTGGGAATGTAACGTTGGACCAATGTTTTTTCCTCCTCAGTAGCGTCCTTTAGAGCAATAGCACAAAAGAGTAAAATTGCAGGCTCTTTGGGGTGAGGACAGACAGACCTGTCTAGTCTTGCCTTTTACTGCATTTCCTTTTTTACTACCAAAAAAGAAACAGTGACCAAAAAGAAGACCCAAAGCCTATAACTGCTCAAAAATGTCACAGCTGGCAACTCTCACAACCTTGCCCCAAAGCAATTAGAATTGTGTTCATCAAGTTTGAGAATGCCAAAATCCAGAGTAAGCTTTGATACAGATATTACCCTTTGTTACCCAACGGCAACTGATTGGAGTGGGTCACGGGGCCTTCAAATATTTCTCTATAGTTCAATGCTTACCGCCAGAGCCTGTTCCTGGACTGCTCTTCTTTCTTCCTCTTCTACACTCTGCCTACAGCTTTGGCAGATCCACAGGGGCATCTCTCCCAGAAGGTTCTGCACCAATGTTGGTACAAAGTCTGGGGGCAGCCGCTCACCTGGGGAGACCAGCCCATTATGGGATGGCCCTCCCCAGTCTTTGCGCTCCCGATGGCAGAGCAAGCAGCATGTCTGCACCGACTGGTTGGAAGTAGGCAGCACCTGCAGCAGAACAACAAAAACATACTCAGGGCACATTGCTCAGAGGAAGCATCCAGACAGACATTTTTCTCAAGGTACATAACTACGGTGCCTTGCTGAAGCTCTACGTGATTTGCAAAATGCATTGGTCTAAGAAGTGATCTGCCTCAAAACCCTGAGGCAGTTATGTCTGCTAAAAGTGTGATTGTTTCAAAGGCTTATTTGGATTGTCTGCACCGAAGCATAGATTGAACAAGCTCTGGATCTGCTGCTAAAATAAAGAGACTGGACAAGCAGACAACCTATGAAACCTTTGAAGAAGTTATGCTGAGTCTTCTGGAGAAGGGGTCTCCAACCTTGGCAACTTTAAGATTTATGGACTTTAACTCCCAGAATTCCCCAGCTACCATGTCTGGCTGAAGAATTCTGGGAGTTGAAGTCCACAAGTTGCCAAAGTTGGAGACCCCTGTTTTGGAGGATGCAACTACTTCAATGCTTCAAGGACCAACACACACCAATACATTTTGTAAAAGTATCCCTTCAAATGCCTTTCAATTTCTGTCTCAGCCTAGTATGCTGCCCCCCCCCCATCACATATACATATTTTCAGGGCTATGTCAAGGATCCTTGGGCTCAGTCTATTCTTTATTTTTTTTAATTCAATTTATATGGCCACCGAGCTCAAATAAGTGAATCTGACCCTTTACTTGATATTTAGTGTGAGTGAAGATGGAAGAACAGTTGCAACACACAAGAAAGAGAGATCTTCTCCTTGCTCTTCCTTTTCTTCCTCCCATACCACAAGACCCAGCCTTCAACTCCCTGCCTGGCCCCGGGGTGGAAGCTTGGCAACAAATTGGACAAATTGTGAAGAAAGGGCAACAAGCATGAAGCAGGCTGCACTGCCTCCTACTAAGCAAAAAACCTGGGACAATAGGCTGTGCACTGAATGGCTTTTGGAAAGCAGATGGCCTGTCTCAGTCCCAGGTGACTCAAAGCGCAAAGAATACATTAGCGAGAGACAGAAGGCATGCTGGTCTGTGCTTCTCATAACGTCTTTAGGAACAGGTGTGCTCAGGCACTGAGATGGCCAATCAAAGTGACAAGGGAAAAATTTGGTATTGTAGCAAAATCTGGAAACATCAGATCATACATGGTCAATCAATCACACCCGCACAATAGAAAAAAAGCAAACTAGCCAAACAAATAAATAAATCTACTTCTATTGATTTGCCAGAAGGCAAGTAATTTTTTCAGCCCAAACTGTCCATTGTTCACCCAAGATAACCTAACTTATGAGGGACATAAGCTAGCCAAGTTTCGGAGTACTGTCATTAAGAACGCTCAAATTATAGACATTAAAAATGTTGCACTAATGGCAGCTGTAAACTTCTTTTGAAATATTTCTCAAGCTAATTTAAACTGGCTTTTCTCAGGTAGGCTAAATTTTCCACAATTCCCAGCGGATCCAACACATCTGGAGAACACCTGATTGCCTCATCTATTAGATGAAGGCTCATCTATTAAATATTGAAGGCTACTTTGATGAAAACCAATACCCTATATTTATCTGAACTTAAGATAATGTCTCACATCATTAAAAAGAAAAAGGAGAAAAGAGAGATCTGCCTCCATTATTGTATTTCTCAGAGAGAATTATTTTTCCATTTTAAAGATACATTGCAGCAAAAATCCTTTAATATAATATTTATTCCAAAAGTTTTAAAACCAGTCTGGCTTACAGATCTTCTAATAATAATAATAATAATAATACCACTTCTCATGCTTCACCGATGAGTAAAAATAAAGCATTAGTTATATAATACAAAGCAGTATTGCCTAGAGAAAAAAAAGTCATAGGTCCTCATAAATTCTTATAGATTTCGCAAAGTTTTAGCTTTCTGGTACAATGCCATCTCATGTCTTGCTCTCTTGTCGTTATTTTTAACGATAGCTATATGGAACCCTTTTCTCTGGTTAAATGAGGTAAAGGTCTATTCCAGAGTATTTCTACTCACTTTTAGTGAGTTTTCTATTGATTAAAGAATTGGGACCTTGGCAAAACCCTTTCATCTTTATTTATTAATTAAATTATTAACTTGATTATTTTTCCTCTATTAGGCCTCAAATGAAGCTAAGTATCACCAACTAAACAGTTGCTATAGGTCTGATTTGTCTGTTTATCACAGGCCTGATTCAAGTATTCCCTGTGTACTTGTATTACTGTACCAGATTTTATCTGAAGACATATATATGCTGCTACATTCACATATTATATGTCAGAATACTAACTCTGAAGCTTTCTGCTGAAAATAGCAGAGAGCCATTGAAATGGGCTAAAATGTGTTTATATATAGGCAGCCTAGACTATGTACAGTCATGCTTCAAAATCATAGTTGCTGTTCTTTTTCCATGCACGCAGCTTGAATTGAGCATTCCCCTATCTTTGCAATTCTTCAGGCAGACTAATCAGCATATCCAGTTCTGACTCAGTACTCTATTTTGCCTCTTCCTAGTTCAAACAGATTGTCTAATTTTAAAGAAAACATTCTTAAGCACAGAAATCACAATCTGTAACAGCCTCATTTGTAGATGCTGATGCTGATATAATTAAAAAAGCTATGAAAGTTAATGAAGGAAGTGGTAAGTGATGTCACAGGGATCAACCAATCAGAGGCAAGCCTCTGTAGAAAGAGGAAATGTTATTTTCCCCAATGAAAGATTCTGAAGGGGAATTTCCATGCACGTATAAAACATTAATGATATAGTACAATAGTATAAGACCATCCCTTGTGCTTTGAAGGAGAAAGTAAAATAATCTGGACCCAGCCCCTTCTCCCATCCACACACACCATACTAGTCATGCATGCAAAGGTTATCTAAGGTTTATCAATTCAATCATCTAAATTCCTCCACATAAGGGGAATCTGGGCTAATTGAGACACCCACTATATAGAAGAGTTCTGCACACATATATTGGTATACATGACTTTTCATAATTTTTTTTTAATTTCCAAAGTTAAAATACAGAATCCCAAAAAAGAAAGAAAAAGAAAATACAGAAGGCAAAAATAAAGACGAAGAAAAAAAGTGTATAAAACAAAATATTAAACATACACATAAAAATATCCCCCCTGGTAGAATACTGATAAATATATTTCAGCAACAATAGTTCTCATCCCCCTGCAAAACAGGCCCACAGTTTATGAACTTCTACATCTATAGTTGCAAAATGGCTATACATTATAAAATATCACAAATATCAAAATCTATTATCAATCAAGCAATTTGACCTATCATCTATCTACTATTTTTTTTTAAAAAAAACTAATTAACAAGTACTCCCAAACAACAAGCCAAACTTCAAAACCCTCTGTTAACAGGTACTCCCAAACAACAAAGCTAAACTTCAAAACCCTCTATCTCACAGAAAGTCCACAATCAGCCTCTAGTCTTTCATAAACATTGCAATCAGTGTAACCAGTGTCTCTGATCCATTCAGGATCAAATACCATTGATTGATTCTTGGTAATAAAAACAACTCTTTCCAGTTTACTATATTTTTCTTTAAAATTATACATGGAATCTTTCCTAACAGCTGCTTCTCACTCCCCCAAAAGTAGGTCTCCATTGAAGATATCTTCATTAATGCTTGTTCAGTAAATTTTCCTGCAAATGGGAACATCACGTCTTTTGACTGTTGTCTTCTAGTTATACATAATGGCTCTATTGCACAACTCCATCAACTTTCCTAAGACATTCCTGTTTGTTAATGCCGCCTTTAGCTTCCTCTACCACAGGGGTGTCAAACTGCCCGCCCGCGGGCCAGATGCATCATAGCAAAACCGCGCCCACCCCATTGCCGGCAATGGAAAAAAAGTCGTGATACGTCGCCACATGTCACGTGACATTGCGAGTTTGACAGCCCTGCTCTAGCAAATCTCCAGTTTTCAAGCAAAACTCCTCTTTCAAATCTATTAACAGGGAATTTATTTCCAATCCATCCAACTGCATGGCTGATTTAACTGCTGTTGACTATATCTAGATGTCTTCTTTAGGATGATTTGAAATTGTGACAAATTCATCAAACCTTTTATCTAATTTTTCATTTAAAATGTGTAAGTTGACAAACATTTTTCTTCAAAAGTTTCCAAGAAGGTTTTAACATTAAACTCATCTGAGTACCATCTGTTTTTTTATATCTGGGGGGGGGGTTATAGAACATATATAAAGTATAATAGTCAAAGCTCTGAATATATTATTACTTTCGTTTTATAAAATCTGAATCTCTCTTATAACCAAGCTTTCACAGCAGAATGTAAACGGTTCTTTTTCAGGGACAAAAAAAGTAGATGTTCCATAACAAATTAACCACAGAAGAAGCTAAGATAATGATTCTGAGAGCAGAGAGTTTAAAAAAAAAAAGGGGGGGGAAAGGGGAAATTACTGTCATTTTAAAAATAAAAAGACAAGAATATATACAAAAGTAAAATGAAGCAAGAGAGTTCTTTTCGAAAAACTAGTAAAATACAAAATCCTTAGAGTAAAAACCTGGTATAAATCAGATCCAATCACTTTCACTGCAAAAAAAAAAAAAAGCACCCAATGCCACCGATTTCTTTGTGGCATAAGTATTTTAAAGCTCTGAAATAAGATGATGAAATTTTACGTCTGTAATCAAGCAAAAGGGTAGGCAAATTAGCATTCACCCAGGCTATTAATAATTAAGCTTCAAAAAGTGATATTAAAAACTGAGATGCGCTTAAAAATACAAACAGCTGCAGGAAAAGATGAAGACCCTCTGGCCGCTCTTATTGAGAGCTGCAGTCCTCCAGATTTCTCTTCCCAGGCAAGTACACAGTCATAGTGGGTCATTCAAAGTTACTCCCATTCAAAACTGGGGAGCGTGCTGCCAAAGAGCTATCTTTGGTATCAAATCAGCTATTTGTCAGCAAGGATGAAGAAAAAACGCCCCATCATTCAACGCATCCTTTTTTGAGAGATCCCACACAGGTATACAT